CTCGCACTCGCCTCGCTTCACGTGCTCAAAGTAGTTGAGCTGAAAGTTGAAATGCATGAAACCGTTGAACCGTTGAACCATTGATCCAACTATGATGAAACATTCCCAGATTAGTCACACATACATGAGTGATTTTCTGTAATTTTTTCAATTTTTTCTAAGAACTTTAAATTTCCGGTCAAACTTTGGTCAAACTAGTTAAGCTGAATGTTGAAGTGTATAGAAACGTTGAACCATTGATAAAAAATTTATGAAACTTTCACATATTAGTCATTCATGCGTGAGTGATTTTCTGTAATTTTTTCATTTTTTCTGAGAACTTTCAAATTTGGTCAGAATTTGCAGCTGAAATTCGAATTTCTCAAATTTTACCAGAATGGTCACACATATATGGTTGTTTATATGGATTTTTTTTCAATTTTTGCTGGGTTGTTCGAAAAAAAGTCCAAAAGTTGGGCAGCATTTTGGCTCAATTTGGACAGCATTTCCACTGTTTATGCACATATCATCCAAATCCTAACATATATTTCCAGAAAGACATTCATATCCATATCACACTTGAACTCAGTATAGAAAAATAAAGCATTTCACATGTCCATACATCATCCATTTTCATACATCATCTAACATAAGGTGTCAAGTCTGGCATATTACAACCAAAAACATAAGGAAACATTTGATGCATTGTTCCACACAAAGTAGGATGGCAAGTCTGGCAAACTATAACTAAAAGCATAGAGAACATAGAAGATCAAGCACAACACTAGCTCTTCCTTCTCTTCGGGGTCAACTTTCTAGCCCTTGAGCTCGAGGACATGTCATATGCAATCATGGTGTTCCCAACGGTTGTGGTAGGTTGCTGGGACGCCTCATCCGCCAACGCCATAGCCAACATCCTTCTTGTCACAGGATTGGGACTGCCTTGAAGACTATGTGGCATAGTGATCATGTGCCTACTGGGACTGGCAACAACTTCAAATTGTGGTGCTGCATGTGTTTCCTCATCAGCCAACGCCGCAGCCATCAAATCTCTAGTGACAAGCAATAATCAAATAGGAATAGCACTGCAGCCTACGGGCATGAGCAGCAGCGGCAGTCACGGCCATGAGCAGCACCAAATTATTTTCATTTCAATTATCATGCAATACATTTTGATATCTATATTTAGTGTTGTCGATATTTCATATTCTTCTATAAACTTGGTCTAGCTTAGGACAAACACATAACTTGAAATAATTTGGAATGAAACATCAAAAAGGATATATGCATATGTAGGTTCTTTTCCTACTATATCAAGAATATAGTAATATAACAGTGTATATCAGATTAGTCCAAAAGTTAGCCGTGTAATCACAAGTTATCTTCTAACGAAACTGAAAGCACATGAATAAATAATCAGTACACCATTTATTTTCTTGGACCAACACTTCCCTGAGATCTCAATTCCAAATTTTATCAATATTCTCACCTTGACGTATTCGCAAGTACAAAAGGGAGCAACAAATAAGAATAGTTATATTGTGAAAACACATGGGGTGAGAAGCAACAGCACTGGCCACACACAGCCACCAGAAGCTGCAGCCGCGGACAACACGGGCGACGAGCAGCAGTAGAGGCCATGAGCCGCTGCTGCTGCCCTGCTGCTCCCCGGATGCCCGCCTGCCACGCACGGCAACGAGCAGCAGCAGTGGCGGCGCGCACGGGCACGCAGGCGGCGGGGACGCATGGCTAGGAGCAGCAGATGCGGCGGCGGCGGCGCACGGGCAGGCGAGGGGCGGCAGCGGCGCAAAACGTGAGTGGAGGCGGTGGCCGGCGACGGGCGGCGGGCGGACAGGCGGTGGCCGGCAGCGGAGCAAAACGCGAGGGGCGGTGGCGGCGACAAGTAACCCTAACCCTAGGTGGCCAAGGGCCGGGGCGGGAAAGAAGACTCGCCTTCGCCGTCGTGGACCACCGGGGCCGTCGCCGTTGCCGTCGTTGACCACAGGGATCTCCTGGAGCTGGCTGCCGCCGTCTCCTACAGACGAGGAGGGGATGAGTTGCGAACGAACGAGTTCCTCGTCCTTGTTTCTGGTCAATCTGTTCGGGAGGGGCAAGTTTGTCATTATACATGGGACCCATCTGACAGAGGGCAGAAGATCAAAGTGTAAAGTAAAAGATGGCAAAAGATCAAATACAAAGTAAAGAGTGACAAATAGTGAAAGTCCAAAGTAATGGGGGGCAAAAAACCAAATCCCCCCAAAAGTTAGCAGCCAAAGCGCCTCTTTTCCCACTCATCTTCTTCCCCTCGCCCCTATCTATCTATCCCCCCTACCCTGGCCCCTCCCCTCTCTCATGTCGCTACCAATCACTAGCGTCTCCCGAGCCCACCAGGACCCGACCCAGATCTTGCCGTTGGCAGCTCAACTCCCGTGTAGGTGAGCCGGCTACTCCCCTCCCACCCCCACCACCCGAGAGTACACGGCGCCTCTTCTTCAAAAGCCCTCCCTTTTTGTTTTCTCGGCGCTCCTCGGGGGTTTTGGTCCGCCGAGGAGGGGTTTGGTGCGCCCGGTACCGGAGAATCTTGGCGAGAAGTGCCTAGTTTCCGCTAGGCTGGTTGGTGGGAGGCGGGTGCCTGGTGCCGCGGCTTCAGCCATGGAGGCAGTCGCAATGTCGCCGTCCTCCGTCTCGTCCCACAACCTCGACGCCGCCTCCACCAGCGACGACATGCCGTCCTCGCAAGAGGGCCTCCTCTTCTCGGACAGCCTCAAGGTACTACGTTTCCCTGCGCCTCACCCTTCACATGGCTCCGAGGCGCAATCTTATGCTTCCCCTCCCATGGATCTAGGCGATGTTCTTGCGGAAACCGGTCTGCATTTCTCGATTGCGCGGCCGCGTTGCCGGAAAATCTGGCGGTGGGTCCAATTTTGGGGCGGCGATTGATTGTGGCCCCCCTATGTCCCTGTCAATCTTAAGATTTTGTTCCCATTTTGGTAGAGATAGAGAAGCGAACAGGGTAGGCACTGCAGTGACCTTTCCAAACTTAGTGTGCTCATAATTTCTGCTAGTAGTATTATGTTACTAAGTCCTTCTTTTTCCGTACCATGTTGTTGTATGTCTACTCTTCTATTGCTCACATAATTGGGTGCGCTACCCTGTAATGGCCCAACCTTTCTCTTGCTTTCCCCCAATTGAGCAAAAGCGCTACCGCATTATGATTTTAAAATGCGCGGTTTGTCGCAGTGGAATGGCCATTGGTACTGAGGCTGTTAGCAAATAAGCAGCACCCAAGGAGGTTGTCATGCATAGTTTGTAGTAGGGCCTCACGTATACGGTGGACTTTTGCTCATTTGAAGTTTGAACTGTAGCTTAGTTGCATGCCGGCACGCTTATTGGTCTGTTTATGTCAACCGTTAGCGTGCTGTTGTCATCTCTTGTCAAATTTGTCGCTATTCGAGGTAATGAAATTAGGATCCTTGTTAACGACGAAACCCCACATGGCTGCACCTTAGTTAATCATTGATGTTCCTCCCATATGGCATTTCTTATAGTATCCTCTATGCTGAGCTTAAATTATGTTTGTTTGCAGGACTTGAGGAATCTGCGGTCGCAGCTATACTCAGCGGCAGAATATTTTGAAGTATTCTACACAAACAACTCGCACAGATCTACGTACGGTCTTTTGTTTTGTTTAATTATTCAGCTCCGTGTCTACTATGCTGGTTAAACAGAAGGCTATCTCGTATCTTGCATCTCATTTGCACTTGTCTTCTGTAGGGTGGTGACGAGTTTAAAAGACTACGCAGTTGAGGCACTCGTTAGCACGGTTGACCATCTTGGCTTTGTGTCGTACAAGGTGGATAATCTCGTCAATGAAAAGGCTGACGAGGTTAATGAAACAGAATTTCGAGTATCGTCGGTTGAACAGGTATTGTAATTGAATGCTGAATGAAGGGAAAACTTTTTTGTAAATCCTCTTTCTGTCTATGTTCTCTAACTTCATATAATTGAACAAATGTAAATGCTGCCATCTATGCCCCCATTTGAGTCTATGGCATTCCGCACAGATAACTTGGTTAATATGTCGCACAAGTCCTAAATGTGGCAACATTATTTCACATGGTTGTAGAGGGTAAAGATTTGCCGGCAGGCAATTGACCAGGAGGGAAGATCTCAACAGTCTCTTCTTATCAGGGCGCCGCAGTACCACAGGCGTTACATATTACCAGGCAAATTCACTGCCTATTTTGTTTCTAGTGCTTTACATAATAACCTCCTTGTGCTGTATAGATAATTGTTGTTCCGTTGTATAGGCGTAGATATAGTGGAATCCGCTATCCATCCAGTTTCAGAGCTCACACGGTACAGCAGGCAACATACGGGTCGCAAAATGCGCAAGTCTCAGTCTAGTAAGTTCACTGAATTTCTGAGTTCTGAGTTCTCTAGAGATTGCTGTGTCATTGATTTTTTTAATGGTTTATCTTTCAGCCATGTCCACTCCAGTTAGTAGGCAGACAACGATGAGGTAGGCAGACAACTCTCAGGACTGTGGTTTGCGTGTTATTGTGGATCAAAGTGTTCATAAGAGCCCTTGACTGTTCTTTGTCAAAATAGACATAATACAGGCTTATTAAAACATGTTCTGTTGCAGGAGTGTCCGTTCACGGTCTCCAGCAGTTCGTGAAACACATCATCGATCACGATCCATGTCGCCGTCTCGAAAAGCGCGAGCTAAATCACCATCACCCCAAGTCGTGAACTTGAATCCGAAAGGTATAATAGTATTCTGACCTCACATTTGAACAAGCAAGTGCTGCATTCTTTGAATGCGCAGCTTCTGCTGAAGAGAACTTAACCGGACATTGCTTCACAGAAACAAGAGCAGGTTCGCCAATACCAACTATTCCCATTCCCCTGGCGCGATCTGCTACAGTTGCAAGAAGACCACCTCTGGATCCAAAGCATTTTGTATGTTAACCAGAACCCAGCATTGTTGCTTTCTTTCTGTTTAACAGTGTATTATCCCGAAGCCAGTTTTTCTTCTCTCTAGTTTCTGACGTGATAACCCCTTGCAGAGACAAACCTCGATGCAGGTGCAATCCGACTATGAACACCAGAAAGAGCGGGAGAAAAGATCAAGCAAAGGCAGGGGCTTCCTCAAGTCGCTGCTCACAAGACGCCGGTGGAGGAATGACGAGTCGCTCTACAATTACTTGGACGAGTACTGATCGCTGAAATGTCTTAGACCTTGTTCCTTGTTGACCAATCTCGTTCCTTCATACATATGATGTTCGAGATCTCAGACCAAATCTCATTCCTTCATACATATAGCTTGTGTGTCATTTCCATGTGTTTATAGATACAATGCAGACAGAAACACCACCAGTGGTGCTCATGGCGTTGCGCAAGCGCATGACGGATGAAGCAACCAAATACAGAGCAGCTTCAGTACCATACCATCACCTACATCCATTTCCCGTTTCTGTGGCCTAGATCTTGATACCAAATACATGGTGGTCCTTCCAGTGTCATTTTCCTCTGTTTGCGCTGTTGGCGATCTTGTCGAGCAGAACTGTTTGGGCTGGTTTTGTGGCCTCTGTCAGTGGTAGCACAGTGGGCATGGATGACGACAAATGACGATGTCCCTAAACTAATACTTCCTCCGTTCCTAAATACGGAGTATAAGGCTTTTTTAGACATTCCAATAACTGACTACATACGAAATGAAATGAGTGAATATACACTCTAAAGTAGGTTTATATACATTGGTATGTAGTTTGTATTGAAATCTTTAAAAAGACTTATATTTAGGAAGGGGGAGTAGATCCACTGTAATCTTCTGTTTGTAAAATACTGTCTCTGTAAACTAATATAAAAGCACTTAGATCACTACTTAGTGATCTAAACGTTCTTATATTATTTTATAGAGGGAGTACTAAGAGAAATAGAGCTGTATGCATACAGTAATCCCAACATGGACACCTGCTAGGTCGCTGTGCGCATCCCAGTGACCCACTGCCCAGCTCCAACAGAGTAGGGAACACTTCTCCGAGCCCACTAGCCCCTTATTTTCTTCTTCTTTCCCTTCCGTGCGATCATATCGTTAGGTTCCACACGATGCGATGTCTTGTTTTAGGGAACCATGTTGGTTTGCGTGTCAGCTAACTTTCCAGCCAAATTTTTTTAGCACAGTACAAATCGCAAACACTCATGCATACACACATGTACTCATCCCTATGAACGCATGAACGTACATCCTACTCCTATGAGCATCTTCAAGAGACTGAGTCGGCACATCATTTTGAGATTGACAAAGTCGTCACAGACACTTTTGTAGTCGACGGGAACGTCTCCTCCCACTAAACCCACATCGCCGATAGGTCTGAAATAAATCCACGAAACTATGAGCACCAATGTCAAGTTTGTGACTTCAACACTGATGGGTTAGGGATACCAATGTCAGCCAACCTTTGCTCATTGTGTGTTCTCCTTTCGAGGGCATTTTACCCTGGTCCATTTCACCTTCCATTTTCATCTTGAGTAGGCCCTCTTCGATTCACAGGATTCTTAAAACATAGGAATAGAAAAAAAATACAGGATGAGAGTGGCATGCTCATTTGAATCCTGATATACAGATAGTGTTTGATGCCACAGGAAAAAGCAAAGGAATAGTAAAAAAAATGTTTGAGTTGATACTAGATTTCCTATGAAATGTATGGAAAATCCTATGAATCAAATGACCAATATAGAAAAAAAATTCTAAGGATTCTAGCCCTTCAAAAATCATATGAAAATCCTTTGATTCAAAACTTTAGTAGATATTTAAGCCAAATCCATCTAACGGACTGTGGTCCAAAATGGGGCGAGATTGCTTAGATCATCCTCCTTTTCAAGATGCAAGGCTTGTGTTCTCTAAATTGAGGACATTAAGCCACAGCTGGGACCTGTGGGCTCCTGTTAGCAAAAAGGTGTACTCACTTGGGCCATGTGTGTTCCATGGTGACCACTCTCCTCTCAGTTTACAACCGGGTCCACAGGCCTTACTGAGCCCATCAGGCATGCTGGTTCTTAGTCTAACCTATATATGGGCGGAAATCTGCACCTCTTTATGTTGGGCCTAGCCTATGTAATGCTAGTCTATCACAAATTCGCAATGATGCAGTTTCTTCACAAAAAAGGAACTCTGTTAGCACACCCTTTTTCTCAAGAAAAAAAAAACCTTCTATGTGGTGTCATCTTTCTGAACCGCTATAGGGAAAGAACAGTGGCGCAGTATATTAACTTCTCGTTCATATTCTAAAAAAAAATCTTGTTAACATCCACACATGTATAGTATCAGTATATCACGCACGCAGACCATATTGCGTAACAAAACGAATTCACACCTCGAACAGTCACCGCAATTTCATCTCCCGCGCCTGCAAAGTAACAGTCTATTTTATAAACTAGACAAACACGCTAGATATCTTTATCCAGTCCACTGAAGCGATATTATCATGCATGATCCTGATCGAGCACGGAATAGACCGCATCGATATGAACGTATAAACTACGCTGAAACTTCTGAAGGAGAACTATCGACCTATTAAGACAATCAGAGAAAGCAACAGCAATACTTTTTCTTGGCAAAGTTAGTGGTTGAGGCCAATCATCAGCTGCCTCCCCCGGTTTCTTTCTTCCTAATATTTGTGGAGCATATGGATTGACCAGTATCTATTGGATTTATACATATCTTTTGGAATTATCCGGTTATCAATTTAGTAGTGTGACAATAAAATCTTAAGATAAATATGCATTCTGTCATATTCATCAATTTTTATAATTCATATTTGACTCCCTCAGCAACTGAAAACCAAAAAGATCAGGGGGAGACAACCTGGCCAAAGTACAACTAGTTAAATATAACCAACTAACAAAATCAATGAAATTCACGTCATGTTCATAGGACTATTCAAGGTTATATATTTGGGACAATTACATTTCTGCCTCTAACTGGAACCCACTACTTAAATTTGCCCCTAATTTCAATGTGTGCTCAAATTTGCCCCTCTGCCGTTAGTTGCCCTTATAGAAATGCCCTTCTGCGCCGTTACCGTCCGGTCAAACAACTTTGACCATCTCGAAAAAATAGTAAAAAAATCAAAAAAACCTGAAATTTTGTGGGATTGAAGCTACTCATGTGCGCAAGGCGCGTGCAAATTTTCGTGCTATTTAGACATATCAGGAGCTCGTGGCAAAGGAAAACAATAAATCTGTACATCTTTGAATAGTAAATTCAAAAAAATAGCAAGAAAATTCAAAAACATATGAAATTTTTTGGCATCCAAGATGCTCGGGGGCACAAGGCGTGTGCAAAATTTTGTTATCAAATGACATGCGAGGAGCTCTCGCAAAAAAAACCAAAATAGTGTATTTTTACAAGTTTTTTTCTGAGACAAATTTTGTTTTTTTTCTCCACGAGCTCCTACAATGTCCAAACACAAAAAAAATTGCACACACCTTCCACACCTAAGCATCTTGGATGCCAAAAGAATTCATATTTTTTTGATTTTTTTTGCTATTTTTTTGAATTTATGGTTCACACGCGTACATATTTACTGTTTTTCCTTCGCCATGAGCTCCTAGAATGTCCAGACAACATGAAAATTTGCACGCACCTTGCGAACCTGAGTACCTTCGATCCCACAAAAATTTAGATTTTTTTTGACTTTTTGTGCTATTTTTTCGAGATGGTCAAAGCTGTTTGACCAGACGGTAACGACGCAGAAGGGCATTTCTATAAGGGCAACTAACGGCATAGGGGCAAATTTGAGCACACATTGAAATTGGTGGCAAATTTGAGTAGTGGGTTCCAGTTAGGAACAGAAATGGAATTGTCCCTATATATTTATGCATTCCTATGTTCCCACACGGCACATCTGCATAGTATAATGGTGCAGAGGTAAAAGAAACCATTGACTTCTGTGCTATCAAGTTTAACTCTGGTTGAGAACGATCATTTGTGCTGAAGTAGCCAAAGTATACAAGGGGTGAGCCTGTTTCTTGTTCTTTACTTTATGAAAACAATATATATTATTATTATTATTATTTTTATTTGAGTGAAGTTCAATTTTTAGCCCCTAGTTTCAAGTTTGTGACAACTTTTATCCAATTTAGCGGAAATTCTCAAATTTTACTCAATTTAGCGAAACTTGTGAGACAGATGGAGATATCTGTACAAAGATGGGTGTGTATATGGTCACGTATTCATAGTATAGCGAATTTCAACATCAATTTGAGGCCTTTTCCTCCCCAAACAAATTTGCAAATCATGAAGTGGATCAAAAGGACTCTGCTCTGGCTTTTGACATTCCTTTTTGGGATAAAAAGGAAATGTATTAGGACTTTGCTCATTTTCAACCATTGGATCAAATACTCACCATCTAGATGAGATGATACATAACACAACGAACATCACTTTGATACAGTAACACAGGACAATGATTATTGTGGCCAACATTGGAATTGTGCATCTCAAAGAAAAAAAACATTGGAATTGTGACCGGACGGATCTCGTCCTTTCACCCTTGATCCGATGGCCGTGAATGACTAAGTCGCCCCAGACTTGGCCATGACAAATGAGAATATATGTGCCGCTCCGCCACACCCTATGTGAAGATGGTATTCCTTCGTGTCGGATTCCTCTTCTATGGAGGATCTTGATTTGAGAGCAAAGAGCTGGTCATTTTTAATCGCTTTTCCTCATTTGAGGGCCTGTTTGCAAACCTCCGGCTACGATAAATATTTAAACCAACGCTTTGATTTCATGATCCACACTCTCTCAAGCCCTTCTCAGTGCTCCATCTTATATATGTGCTAAGGTTGTGAAGTAGACAAAAAATCTGATGTGGCAAATTAATTAAGAGGAGAAAGAGAAGTTTGATGACCCTAGAAAGAAACTATGCTAGGCACATGTACCTAGATGAAAACATAATTACAATCTATAACTAATTAAATATAGGAATTTAGCCACAAGAAACTAAGAGCATCTCCAACAGATGCGCTACGGCACGGCGCACAATTTTTTTTACAGCGCCGAAATAGCCTTTTTGCACGCTGGACCACACAGTTGCTTCATCAGGCGCTGAAAATTTGTACCGCGGCAAAATAGAGCGCGCGCCCAGCACACACAACATTTTGCATTCAATGTGAAACAAAAAGGATCAAACACACACAAAATAAATTGACA